TCCTAAACATGTAAAGTTAGATATTGTTTTGTCCAAATGTTAGGGAAGACAAAAATGAATGGAGCGTCTACGTGTGACCTATAAGTCACGAGTTCGAGCCATGAAATCGGTTAATGCTTGCATTAGGGAAGACTACCTACATCATACTCTTAGGGTACGGATCTTCTCCAGACCCTTCCTTAATACGGGATGCTTCGTGTATCGGACTGACCCTTTTTCAGGGAAGGCTAAATATTAGGTTATTTTTTTCATTTGTCTAAATTTTAGTAAATAAAAAATACTCGATATTTGTGCTGATAGGAGATTTAGATGCTCGATAAAATTAATAAAGTTGTGCATAGGCTAGCCTGAACATTGTCGATATAAAAATAAGTTAGATATATTCTTTTAGCAATGTAACAAGAACAATAGAACATATTAAACATAATTAATTTCAAAATATAGACGCATACAAAAAGAATTGTTTTATGTAAATTTTTATATGTTATTTTGGACTTCAATAGATCCTGCCTTAATTTGTGATAGAAACAACAATTTGTAATAAGAAACTAAACTCTCCATTCACTATTAACGCACGAAAAGAAAAGACAATATATCATAGTTAATTTAGATTAAAAACGTAAAAGAGGTAAAATCACCCTTTTGGATGCTAATTTTTTCTGTTCTTGTTTGAATATGTGATACTTTGTGGACGAAATTCTTTTACACAATTATAAATACATCGCTCAGATGTACCAAGGAGACAACTCAGTGGCTAAAATATCACAATTTGAACTCAATACTACAATCAGATGTCCGATTAGTCTTTTTTCTTTTTTTATTTAACTAAAAAAAGTCTCAAACATGTTTCATGAATGAATCCATGTCACTTAATATTATAAACAATATATGATGCACATACATTAAAACATGACCATATATTAAATCTTGTTTTCATCGTTGACAAAACAATTTTTTTTATCCCCATTTATTAAAATGTACCTAACTAGGCCCCATATGGTCCCCCAAAATAGTTGTCCCAGTTACTAAATTTGTCACAAAATGGTCCAATTGATTCTATACTAGTAGTATTAATTATTCTACGATTAAAAATTAATAATAAAAACTACTCGGTCATATAGAAGATTAATATAATGAAAAGACTAAGAATCAAATATCATAAGTTATTATTCCCTTTTATTTAACGTAGATTTGCAGAATATTTTTACTTTCTAGAAGGAGTAAGCACGTACGACTTTTCTTAAAATTTTATGAAATAAAATATTATCTCTTTGCAATTTTTCATAATACTTGTTATTTCCTTTGGGTTGATTTTCTTATTATTTTGTTGTCGTTATTGTTTCTTTTATTCAGTATTTCCAACATGGCCTCTCTGTTTTTTTTCTCAAACTTACCTTCTTTTTTTTTTTTTTTTTTTTTGAGTTGAGAATCTATCGAAAACAGACTCTCTAATTCATACAAGGTAGGGCTTGCGTAAATACTTTCCTCCCAGATCTTACTTATAAAATTACAATATGTGTATATGTTATTGTTACACATTTAGGAATATTTTTGAATAGACGATCTTCTTTGTTTAATTTTCCCATTACTCATTTAGTACCAAGTTTCCCACAAAACCGTGGGTACACTAAAGTTGCTAAGCTAGAATAATATTCCTTTAGTTGTTATATACTCCGTATAAAGGAATAGTCATTTTATTAAAGAATAATTTTCAACAATGTCTTTTACTTTTCCTTTTGAATCTTTCAATTTCATCAACTGTTTTTTTATTTAAATAGTAAAAAAAGATGCAAAGATAATTCTATGATCAAAGGTCACAATTGAAATATCATTTTGTTGATCTCCTAACTATTGCTTTTTAATTTATTTTCATATTTTCGGTTAAATGTGGAGGTAAAAAAGGAAGTTGTATAGAATCACAACCTATAGTATTCAGTATCCGAAGCATACCAAAGGATTAAAACGCACCCTATTGAATCGTTTGGGTAGATCTGTTTTTTAATATTTGTGGCTCATCGAAAACATGACTCTTGATAGTAGAATATAGAAGCCGAGGTTAATGTAGAAGATTAGTAGGTAGCCGATTATACTTTTTTTTCCATACATGTAGTATTATAATTATTCGTATATTTTCTTATTCTTAGACTTTTATTATTATTCACATATTTTTCATATGCTGTGTTTTTTTTTTTTTGCTTCGATTTTCTTACTATTTTGCTTTTGTTATTGCTTCCTGGCTTCTCTACTACCATATTTCCTTTAACACTGTTGTGACTATACTTTTCTTGAGCGGATGATCTATAAGAAACACCCTCTCTAATATCTTCCCCAGACTTTACTTGTGAAATTTCACTAAAATTATTATTGTTGTTGTTGTTATTGTTGTTGTTATTGTTATTGTATTTAGTTATATTAATTATTTACATGAGATTTACTTAACATAAAACAAAAAACAGAAAATCGTTTTACGGTTCATTTTTTTTATTCAAATTATAATTATATAACATCATTCCTTTCAGAGTCAGATCCATGATTTAAACTTTATGAGTTCAGATTCGCAATTCTACCACATTTCATCTAATTTAATGAGTTCAAAATTTATTATTTATACATATTTAATAATTTTTAGGCAAAAATACAGGGCAGAACGAAAGCTATAGCTTATACATTAAATACTCATCTGATTCCTTTTATTACTCCCTCCGTTTTAATTTAAATAATACACATTCCTTATTAGTTTGTTAAAAAAAGAATGACATATTTTTATATTTAGAGACAATTTAACTTTAACTTTTCATTTTACCCACTTTGTCCTTAACGAAAAATAAGTTCTTGCCCTTAAGCTTTTTTAGGACCACATATTTTAAAATCTTATTCTTATATTTTGTGACAAGTCAAATTATATCTCGAAATTGAAAATGTGTGAGTATTTTTTTTTTTTACTATTTCAGTGTCTGATATGAAAACTTGTTGAATAATAGTGAAAGGACAATTACCATTATTTTTTTTCCTTAAAAAGAAAAGACCAAAATTAAATAAAATACCACACGTTTTATAATAATTAGGCTTTCTTTCTTTTTCCCTTTATTTATATTTATTAACCTTTTCTTGCCTACAAAGCGAAGATTGGCATCATCATCACCATCACTATCACATCATAATATAAATAGGGGAGTCGGCTGGTGAAATTGCCATTTTGCAGAGGCCAAAAAATATCACCTAGAGAGAGAAAAAAATCACATTCAAATCGGAAAATCTTTTTTTCTAGGGTTTGTTAAAATTAGCTGCTCTGGATTTCTTCTTTCTCTCTTCCGTGGCTTCCTTAGGTTATGCCGTTTCACCTACAGGTAATTTTATTATTATTCCTCCTTATTTTGTTTTTGTTTTTTGTTGCTTTGTTTTTGTTTTTTTGTTGTTTTGAGTGTAATTTATGAATTTGTGGTTGTATATTGTGTTTTTATATGAATTTGAGGTCAGATCTGAACGTATTTGATATTTTTGTTTGGAATTAATTAGTTCTGAATCTACGCGTTATGAATTGTTTGATTTTCATATTGCAGTTATTGCGTTGGTGTTTGAATTGTGCTTTGTTAATGAATTCGAGGCGTTGTAATACAATATCTCGAGCTAGCACCTGTTTTAATGTATTATCTGATTTTTCGGCTATAATTTATATTGTTTATTTTTCTTCCCTTCTAATCTCAAATTAGGGCTGATGTATGCATGGTTGAGTTTTAATTTGCTTGTGGAGCTAGTTTTGTGTGAGTCTCTTTTATTGTGGTGTATGAGAGATTGATTTATCCAATTTGATTGGGCGATTCCGGTTACTTGGATTGAGCATTAGCTCTCCTTGCTATAGTTACATTAAGTTCTGTTTGCCTCGAGTTTTTTTTAGCTGTAATGGTGAGAGGTGGATCTAGGATTTGAATTTTATGAGTTCCGATAATGACCTTAATTTATATATACATTAATAATTTGGTTCAAAGTCAAATATTAGTCGATATTTAGTGGATTTCTTAATAAATATATAGAGTCTGGGTGGTAATTGTGAGATCAGGAACCTCTAATTTTAAGTGAAATGATTTAATATTGGAATGATATGTGCTTTAATAGAGCGAATAGATATGGAGGATTTGTGCAACTAGTTTGGGTTTGAGGTTAGTTGATTGATTGATTGATTTGGTGGGTTGGGTGTTTTCTTTTACCAGCTCAATGCCTGGAATCTGGTGATCTTGTGGATTTTGGTGGTGACTTAGTCTTTTGGGTGTTGTTAAGTTTTGGCCTTTTGAGGGTAAATTTATTGAGTTGCTAAAAGTTGTTGAGGTTTAGAAAGTATCATTACCTTAATGATAGATCTTCTAGGTAAGTCTTCAAAGCTTGGGTTTCAGCTATTTAATTGTGTAGTTGTAATTGTTTATTAGATATTAATGGTTGTAAGGTGCACCTTATGTGTGCATAGCCGTTACAGTGATTTTTCTCTGTTAATTGCTTATTAGATAGTCATTGCGGCGAGATGCACCATAATGTAGAATTTTGCATGTGTAAACTTGTAATGCCATTTAATGATTTGATTATGTGTGCATGTTGTGTGAGTATTCATAGGTAATATTCAGCTTTGAGCCGCAAAAATTATGTGCCTGTCATCAGATTCACAATTTTCTATCCCTCTTTTTTGTATTTGTTCTTGCCTTGTGTACGCTTTACGAAATTTATGAGTGTCTCAAATATGATCATGTGGCTGTAACTAACAAAATATATGATCGTGTTCTAATTATCCATTATTGTCCTGCTGATAACTTGAACATCGGTGGAGATAACAGGTCTCTGCTACTCTTGTTTCATGTGTATTTACGTAAGGAAATTGGAAGAGGTTCCTTTTGAGTGCTCACCAGTTAATTATTTGCATTACATTTAATTAGTCAAATAATGCTATTCCATCATCTTTCTCAAGTTCTTTCGTTTTCTTTGGTTATGCTTTTCCAGGATTTGGTAGAGTTCAATTCCAGGGTATTAATATTACTTAGGACATGGAGCAATTGTACCTTTGCTCAGTTCGCTTTGAGTGCCAAGCTTTTTCATTCCAGGAAGTCCTTGATTGGCGGTTCCTCATCCGTGGAGCTTTCCTTCTTGTTTCTTTTGTCAATTGCACTTAGTGAACAGCTTCTACTGAATGATCAGTACAGGAGGCCAAATGCGAATTTTGTATAAGCTAGGTGTTGGATGTTTTGCTCAATTCCATAAGTAAGCTGCACCCACCTTATTATGATGTCAGTTGTTACTGTACTGTTAACTACCTCGGCAAGTCTATTGTTGCTAGTGCATCACCAATACAAAACCCATTCTGGATCGTTTGGAACCTTCCTCTGAGGTATTGATATGGGTTGTCTGTCTGCTTATCCAGTTGTTTATGTTTGTAATAGCATCACACTAATCTTTGTTGTCTCTTTCCTTATGTGCAGGACTAAAGTCAGCTGATGTTTCTACGCATCGTTGAGAGTTAGATTGCATTTTACTCACTTTTGTCTTAGTTTCTAGGAACCTTCATCAGGATTCAGTTAACTGGAGTATCAATATCAGATTAGAGCGTATTTGAAGCAAGGAGCTAGTGTACTTTCGAGAAACACTGTCAACTGGATCTTGAGCTGATAATTCATCCTTTTGAATTGGGCTTGTTTCGGGTCTAAGTTAGTTGTGAAGTGAGATCAAAATGCTCTTCAGCATCTATGTTTCCTTGCTTTCTCTGCCTTGTTATGATAGTGGATTTGTTGATGCGGTATATTTGATGAATAAGGCTGTCAAGCCCATCCATCTTATCAGTACTGGTTTTGCCCTTGTCTGCAGTGTAGCAGAAAACTAACGGTTGATTTTGCTGAATCAGCCGGGCTACTAGTTCCTATTTAATAATTCTCTTTTCCAGTCGACTAGTGAAGAGGAACAACTCCAAGTTGTTTTTATTGTTCTATATCTCCAATAACCAGGTGTTCTTTGTGCTACTGAACCTCCAAAATATGGAAAGGTGCGATGGTTCATTTTTTCCTTGCATTAGCACTCTTTATTTTCAGTTTATGCTCAACATGTGCTGATGATGGCACAGGTACAAGATAATTAAGGAAGTTGGCAATGGTACATTTGGGAGCGTATGGCGAGCTTTGAATAAACAGACTGGTGAAGTGGTAGGTTTAAATGTCTAAAACACAAGAAATAAATAACTGATATTGCTGCTGTTGAAAGTGCCTTTAAAACTACTCATTTACGTACCATAGGTTGCAATTAAAAAAATGAAGAAGAAGTATTATTCATGGGAAGAATGCATAAACTTGAGAGAAGTGAAGGTAAAAAGATATTCTGCCTTAGTAGTTACGCTTGCCTCCTCCTCTTTCGAATGCAATTAATTGTTTATTCTTTTGCAGTCATTGAGGAAAATGATCCATCCGAATATCGTTAAGCTCAAAGAAGTGATTAGGGAGAATGACATTTTGTACTTTGTGTTCGAATACATGGTATGTGGTGGTTCTTGACCATCTATATTTTTTATGAATTAGTTATATTTACTTATCTAACTCCATGTGGACTTTTCTCAGGAGTGCAACTTATATCACCTTATGAAGGACAGGCCTAAGCTTTTCTTAGAATCAGAAGTGAGAAACTGGTGCTTCCAAATATTTCAAGGTCTTGCATACATGCATCAACGAGGATATTTTCATCGCGACCTTAAGCCAGGTGATCATGGCTGATTCTCTTTGAGTTAATTTGATCACAGCTTCTGTGAGAATCTTTTCATTTATTAAATTGAAGGGTTGGATTTCCTTGCTATATGATGGGGAAGACTGAAGGTTGAAAGCTAATATTTCCAAAGTTATGCTTTCCCCCTTTTGCATTTCCCTTGCAGAGTTGAATTTCAAACTCTTTTTTTCTTATTTTTGGATCTGACTTGCAGTCCATGACTGAATACTTGCATTTCATTGGAATGTTTTTTCAATTTTCCGGATTCTGATCTGACATGTATTTCTACTGCTGTACAGAGAACTTGTTGGTTTCAAAAGATACAATAAAAATTGCTGATTTTGGTCTTGCTCGGGAGATCAATTCTCAGCCTCCATATACGGAATACGTCTCAACTCGCTGGTCAGTGCATTCCTGATCTGTTTTATCTTCTTTGAGCAAATTACTCAGGTGGTCTTTTCTTTTTTCCCTTTTCTGATAGCTATCATGTGGAACTGCAGGTATCGTGCCCCTGAAGTTCTTCTACAGTCACCAATCTATGGTCCCGCTGTTGGTGAGTGAAATTTTGAGTATCTATTTGAAATTATTTTGCTCTTCCCCCTTGTTTGGAAAATATTGTTTTTTTTTCTGTTTTCTTATTGATCGTCTCTCTTATATCCAGATATGTGGGCAATGGGTGCAATAATGGCTGAGCTGTTAACTCTTCGTCCTCTATTCCCGGGTTCAAGGTGTGCATTCGCCTTTCTGATTTTTTCCCTTGTTAATGCATTTTCTTCTTCTATATTTTTGAACGATAGTTTAATTTCAGTTTAGATGTGCACAGATATTTATATAAGGGGTGATTGGCTGAGCTGAGATGGGTTGAGCTATGTGATGTTCCTCTCGTGTATCAGTTTTGTACTGCTGTTTAACTTTTATGGACGTTTAATGATAGTTTCATAATGGATAGTTGGGTGTTGGACATCGTAATTTTGTCATATATTTTCCTTTTGCTGAGAATTGTCTCTCATTTTCGGTGCAGTGAAGCAGATGAGATCTACAAAATATGCAGTGTTATAGGTACTCCATCAAAGAGTGAATGGGCTCACGGGCACGAACTTGCTAGTGCTATCAACTACCAGTTTCCGCAGGTCGAATGTGTTTTCCTTATTTTTTGTAAATATAGGGAACTAGAAAGGTTATGTTGTTTTTCATGAACCAACATAAATTAACCTTGATATCTAAAGGTTTTCCTTGACTCATCATCTCCCCAGCATGCAGTTTCGATTCTTTAATCCTAAGAGATATTTGTTTTTCACAAATATATGTGAACAAGTGGGCTCTATGGTAGAAATTAGACTGTCTTTTTTATCGGCCATACCTTTTTGTTTTTGGTTAAATTTGTTTGACACCTCCTTTATAATTTGATGTGGCAGGTCGCTGGTGTAAATCTTTCTTTGTTACTCCCATCTGCCAGTGAGGTTGCAATTAATCTAATCACTGTAAGATCTTGAGAAAGCAAATGTGTTTATCTTATGAATTTGCTTGATAGATCTTTGCAGAAAGGAGGAGAAAAACCTTCTTTTTAAATTTACTTCCCTGTTTTTGATGTGTGAAATATGGAACTAAGGACAACTGAGCTTCTTACATGGCATTTCACTTTTTCTTGTTTCCTGCAGTCGCTTTGTTCGTGGGATCCTTGCAAGAGGCCAACAGCGGTCGAAGTTCTTCAGCACCGTTTCTTCCAGGTGACAAACTACTTCTATTTGTGAACAGATGTGTCCTGAATATCAATTTTATCTCTTATTTACAATTCATGGAAATGATATCGTTTATGATATTCCAGAGTTGCTTTTATGTACCTCCATCACTACGTTCTAAAGCTGCTGTTGCTAGGACGCCTCCATCTGGTATGTTTTTATAATTATTAGTAAAGCTTTCCTTGTAAGTAATTGGGTTTTATGTTTAAAGAACTAATCAAATCTTTTGTGGTTGCAGCTGGAATGAAGGGTGCCTTGGAGCAAAAAACCAATAGGTGGTCATCTAGTACGATAACCAACTCAAAGCCTCGCAGCAACTTCTCTCCTGTCAAGTCGCAATTTAGCCCAGGTAGCGTATAAAGATTTAACATATGTAGAGTTATTGGAGCTATTATTCTTCCTGCAGAGCTTTTAAAACCATCTTCTGTTTCAAATCCAAACATGAAAGCACCATGTTCCTTTCTACTCTGTAGACTCTGTACAAATGGTTTATTTCCTTTGCTCTAATGCATCTATGTTATTTTCTATATAACCACCTCGTAACATGTGTAACAGGTGTCCAAAGGAAGTTGCAAACGAATTATCAGGTATTTTGCCTTGGAAAACTTCGAATTGGTCTTTATATGCCCAATAGGGGTAGATATCAGTGTCCTGTTTCATGTAATTTATGCCAAAATTGTTTTTTCGCAGGACGCAACAAAGAATGATAAATCCCTGAAAGGCTCTGTTAAGCAGCCAGCAAAATATCGTCCTCCTGCAAGGAATGTTCCTGGTGAGTTTCAACATTAAGCTTCTAATGCACAAAAAGGTATTTTTGTGTTACTTGTTGTATTGATTTTTTACCACTGTTTTATGTGGCAGTTGTTGGTTCTGCGGTGAAGACTCGTGCAGTCTCTGATGCTGCTGAGAAGCTTGCCAACATGACCATTGGCTCTGGTAGAGCACCTATAAAGCAGCCATTGCCTCAACCTATGAAGGCAGGAGGGTTGCATGGGCCGCGTGACGTGTTCCTGGGACGATCTCAAGATATTATGCCTGGAAGAAGCTATTCGAGGAAAGTCGCAGGATGAAGAGACGGTCGGTCGTATCCGGGGTGTGTTTTCTTGTGATGGTGTTTTATAGTAATAGTGCTGTGTGCCTGATTACACCTGGATAAGTTTGGTGAGAAGCGGTTTATGTATGTTTGCCAGTTTGTTTCCTTCCGGGGTGATACAGTAGAGTGTTGGGAACTGCATGTTAAATAAATGTTGTGGTTGTGTTTGAAATAGCTTTCACTGACTAGCATTTGCTATAAATATAAATAAATGGTGTGATGATGTTTTAAATAGTTTTCTTTGACTAGCATTTGCAACTGTGCTTCCAATATTATATTACATTGACCTTTTGACAGCTGAGTTTCCTAAGGTTTAGTGTCTCTGACAAGACGCTTAGAAAATATTTGGACGGTGATTTGATTATTAGTAATACCGCGTTGAGTTCGTCAGCAGATGCCTTTTTCCCTTAGTGCGCTTTGCGTATGCTTGCTGAGCTACAGTTGTGTTAAAGCAATACCGACTAGGTTCTGCAGAGGTGAATATATGGTCTAAGGCCGGTGGATTCAAAATGAATGTGACCATATATGTACATATTCTAATCTTTTTGTGTATACATACGCAAATATATAATTCAAATGAAAATAATGGATTTAGTATAATGCGCATACTTCGCCTTAGATGAAACTAAATAATAATTTTCTCTCTTCTTCATGTCTTCAATTCCTCTCTCTATAAAATCCCTTTAGAGATACTAGCGTTGACTTGTACATATGGGTACTTTTATCAAGGTTAATTTGATTGGATATTGTCAAATAGCTTCGTATCAAAATCTAGGCAACGGGTTAAATAAGTTTATCTGCTGAAAGTTGTAAAAGTTGAATAAGTAATATTCTTGGTGGAATGATATAGTATTTGTGAGAATGCACGGGATAAAAATTTATTATTGATATTTTATGTTACAATGAGCCATATTTATATGTATACATAACACATAACCTACTCCTATTACATAAGTGACTATAACTAATTATATATATTCACATAACTATTCTAACACTCTCCCTCAAGCTGGTGCATATAAATTATATGTACCGAGTTTGATACATATGTAGCTAATACGAGGACCAGTGAGGGACTTGGTGAAAATATCTGCAAGTTGATCATTCGACTTCACAAACTTTGTAGCAATATCTTCCGAGAGTATCT